CCTCTCTCTCTCTCTCTCTCTCTCTCTCTCTTTCTCCTCTCTCCCCCAACTTTATATCTTGCAAGCATAATATCTGATGTTTGTCTTTCCTTCAAACTGCCCAGGCTGACTATCTTTGAGCTTTTCACACTTTCGCCCTCATCGTTGTACAAAGCTAGTTCTTACTTATCGCCACATTCATCATCACGCATCATATCACTAGGCTTCGATGCATCTTCAGATGGACTTAGAGTCAGCGAATCCTCGCTGTCATTGTCCTCATCAAGAATCTGGATCATGTTGCTGGGCAGCTGAGCAAATTATGTCTTCAGAAGAAATACTTTTACTAGTTGCAACTTTCAGCTTCTTCTTTGGTTGTCTATGGATTTCTGATCTGGGAGAATATTCAAACTGTTGCAAGAATTTATCACAACATCTCCGATGAATCTGAATGATTTTTCTGTATCTTCTTGTTGTACATTCCCGTCATCCTTTCTTGCTATTTTTTTAAAATGGTAAATTTACGCTCGAAGACCTGCCTGTAACATAGGCCTACCTTCCTCTCTCATGTCAACGTTCTTCATCAACTCTTCAGCACTGGGTAGAAAAGTTTTAACAAGCCCTGTAGATATTGGATTTCTCTGTTTATGTTTCTTTCTCAATTTGTCCCGTAATGTTCTGATGGGTATATTGTACGTTGATGCAATGTCTTCTGTTGCCTGACCAATAGATTCACACTCACTGACAGTGATTCTTTGGCATGGTTTTAGTACTATCTGAAGCCTAGTTTTCTTTGGCACAATCTAGGCGTGTCGGTTTTTTCTGCTGTTGGAAGAAAAGGAAACGAAACTGATAGATGTATTATTCAGCCTAGTTATTCTCATCTCACTCTGTACTTATTCAAATCAATGACAAGGTGAAGTTATGTAAAGTCTTTTTACAAAATAGATTTTGGAAGGCCTTCAGGATAACAGCCAGGTTGATAAGAATAGCATAATTCCATCAGAAATCAACAAAATAAGATTATGTGGTCACTATTACAACAGTGCTACTTTGTAAAAAGGCAAGAATTGTTTAATGCATTAGGTGAGGTAATTTTTTTCTTCAACAATATTGTCATCCTTTTTCCGGTTGGTGGACGGTGGGATAGCATTGACGTTAACCACTGCAGCCACCAACAGCCACGCGGCAAATCATGCTGACTTTATGAAACGCATGACATTTTGATACTTTTGTCACCGAAATCAAGCAGTGCGCTATTCTTAATTTACCATATTCCAAGTACACTTCCCGGAAAAAAACTTCCAAACAAAATTTTGTCAAAAATAACATCTGCTTTTTCACTCACCTACTCACGCCATCACCATTTGAAAATCCGGCGGTTAAAGCATTTTTGAAGTACCACAAAACTTCCTTCCTCGTCTTTTTTTTTTCTTCTTCTCATATTTTATAAATCGTAATTTTTACTTATGACTACTATTATGTTTTCACCCTCGAAACGGCAAACTTGACCGTAGCGGCAAAGTACTCCATTTGACAGTACGCTCCACAACGTGTGTGCTATCCGTTAAAGAGGGCACAGGACCATAAACAGTGAACTAGTAGGCCTATTTCATTGGTATTAAGGTTATTCCCAGGAGAAAACCTTAATCTGTGAAATCGTACTGAGTTTCAAATTTGCAACTTGCCTTGCATGCATACAAATACAATTCGGCGTCCATTTTTATTGATACATTGAGGCATATTGGATTACAACGACACGTCCAATACATTTACATGATAATTCATAAACGCCACACAATTCACAATGCCATGCTGATCTTGCAAACACAACATTGGAGGCCACAGCTGCGCATCGTCTTGTTTTTTTAAACTTTTGGTCTTTCACAACATATTAGGACTGACCAATTACCAAACGTAATATCGCTTTAAAACTGCTAGTAGCTGTGTTGACGTTTCAATGCTCCTCAACCGGGACTAAAATAACCGATTAAAATGAACCAGTCTATAAAATAAAGGCCGGTCAACGAGATACATGTATTACGAAGTGTGAGTCGGCTGTGGTTAGGAGGGATATAAACGACAACTCCATTTTACTTCTACTCAACACAGAGATGACGATGGTACACCAGGGCTTACACCAATCAACGTGACAGAGTTTGATGAGATTGTCTGTTGTTTAGTGTCAAATAATATGACTCGGACTCGTTTGCCCATTCTGTTTTTCTCTCTCTTCTGTGATCCTCACTCCGCACCCATGGCTCATAACGTTCCGCGGGTCTTCAGCCAAAACTTGACGGGACGCTCTTTGTCTTGTGTTCAAATAATTAATATCTGCGGTGTGTGCTTCTGACCCAAGGGACAAATAATTCCTCTCGTGAAGTCTGCCTACAAGCCATGGTATGTTAGGTTTTGTGTACTCTATCTCTATCTCACTTTGAATTTTTGCTACTTTGTTGGTTTAATATAATTGTCTTTCCTCATCGGTTTACAGTAAGCCGCCCC